GAGGAGGCCACAACGGGTACAGCGGATTCTGCAAAGCGGTCCCCAAGCCTCCGCTTGGTTTCCCCAATGTAGAGGAGGCCACAACTTCTGCAAAGTGGTCCCCAAGCCTCCGCTTTTCTGCAAAGCGGTCCCCAAGCCTCCGCTTCTGTAAAGCGGTCCCCAAGCCTCCGCTTTTCTGCAAAGCGGTCCCCAAGCCTCCGCTTTTCTGCAAAGCGGTCCCCAAGCCTCCGCTTTTCTGCAAAGCAGTCCCCAAGCCTCTCACTAACTAATAGGAAATGAGGTGTTGGAATGAATGGATTATTTTTAGATTGGCAAACCGGTAATTCTGGAGAGCTACAAGGATTGATATCGAGGCATCAGGTATTTACAATCTAAAGATACAATCTATACATAAAATTAAAATCTGTAGCAAATTTTCTGACAACACGATATGTGGGAAGCAAACTTGTGAGGAGGACACAAACAGCATCACAACTTTTGAGATGCCAGATTCTTACCTGTTGGATGGAGAGCTGGCAAGGGACCTGTGCTGTCTCTTTTTGATACTGTCGCCCAAACAATAAGCTAATAAGGCTGCGGGCCTTCTCTTGCAGACAATAGCCCAGAGGTGGAAGTCTCGCCTACCAAGAGCTGCCGGCCATCTCTTATGACTGTGCTGCACTTCTGGCGAGGCGGTGCCTGCTGCCGGAAGGACGAAAAGCAGAGTCCCAGGATCACAAAGTGACCCAGGCCAAGGGTGCCTGATAGTTGTGGTGGGGAGTGTGGCTTGGTGTTGGGGGTTGAGAAGTTTGCGGAAGCACGTTGTACGAAGAGGGGCATAGGGACCAAAGCAGGACAAACAGTGGGGTTCCTCTCAATGGACTACTCTCATCGCAATGCCTTGATCGGGAACTCAGCCTTTGGTCAAGAGACCTCCCTCCACCATGCCGAGATGGCCATTTGCCCCTTCTGTTTTAGCCGTGTTACTTGCTGCATGGTGACAGGCTCACCTGCAGCTGGGTTAATCCTGGTGGCAAGAAGATCATTGACTAGCCACTGAGACTTCAACTGGCAGCATGGCAGGAAGGTCAACCATGGGCTTAACTAAATAGGAGGTGAGAGAACAGTGGAGCTCAGTTATACTATCATTCCACCTAATTACGTTCTCTTCTTACATCTAAACTCACATGAGAACAGCACAGATTTCTGTTCAAAGATTTTGGAAAGGGATACAGGTAAGTTTTGACAGTCAGTAAAAGCTTGGCAGATGGATTAAAATGTGAAGTTTTCCAACAAGGTGAGAAGAATAGAAAACAACATTATTTACATTGAGAGAGACCGAAAAATGCTGTAGGATCTGGATGTTCATGTACATTTGTGAGAAAATGTCAGCATGCAAATACTGTAAATGGGATGTAGGTCTTTTTTGTAAGGCAGATAGACTAAAAAAGTAGGGAAGTCATGTTACAAATATATGGAACATTGGTAACAGCACACCTGCCACACTGCAAACAGATTTGTTCTCCTTCTATGAATATGCATACATACAAATAAGGCATTTAGTCTCTTGAACCTGCTTTGCCATTTAATACATTTATAGCTGACCTGACTGTAATCTCAAATCTGTAATCCCACATTCTCATTATCCCCGATAACCTTTCACAACCTTGTTCATCAAGAACCATTCCAACTCTGCCTTAAAAATATTCAAAGATTCTGCTTTCACTTCCTTTTCAGGAGATTTCCAAAGGCACATGACCCTCTGCCAGAAAAAAAATTGCTTTGTCTCTGCTTAAAATGAGCAATACTCTACTCTTAAACAATGACCTCCAGTTCTAGACTTTCCTCTGAGAGGAAACATCCTTTCCACATCTAACCTGTCAAGACTCTTCAGGATCTTGTATATTTCAATCAAGTCAACTCTTACTCTTGTAAACTCTATCAGATACAAGTCTACTACTGTCCAACCTTTCCTCGTAAAATAATCTGCCATTCCAGCACTGGTCTGGTAAAAATTTTCTGAACTGCTTTCAATGTATTTACATTCTTCCTCAAATAAGTTGTCTAATACTGCATACAGAATTGCCCTGTATGACTGAAACATACCCTCCCTATTTCTGTATTCAAATCTCCTTGCAATAAATGAAAATATTCTATTAGCTTTCCTAATTACTTGCTATGCCTGCATATTAACATACATGAAGACATTCAGGTCCCTCTGTATGTCAGAGTTCTGCAATCTTTCACCTCTTAGATATTATACTTTGATTTCATTATGCCTGCCAAAATGGGTAATTACATATTTTTCTACATTATATTTCATTGCCAGATCTTTGTCCACTCACCCATGTACATCTTGTCTGATAAAGCCCAACTTTTCTTTCAGTGTACACCTTGTTAAAACCCTGCTTAAAGTTGAAGTCTTTAGAATTTAAAGTGTAGATTTCTATTAACTGCTAACAGAAACAAAATGAGATTTAGACAATTTATTTGAGAAGGGTTACATTTATGTTGGAGACAATTCAGAAAAGGTTCAATTGGTTGGTTCCTAGGATGAAGAGGTTGGCTTAAAAGGGCAGCTTGAGAAGTCTTGGCCTTTATTCATTAGCGTTTAGAAGAATGAGTGGAGATCTTATTGAAATATAAGATTCGGAGGCGGTTTGACAGGGTAAAAGATGAGGAAACCTTGAAATTGGCACTTCAACATAATGGGTCTCTTGGTTAAGGCGGAGATGAGAAAGAGTTTCTTTTCTAGATGGTTGTTAATCTTTCGAATTTACTACACCAGAGAGCATACTGGAGCACACTACATACATTCAAGGCTGAGTGAGACAGATTTTTGATCCAAAAGGCAGTCAAAGGTTAAAAGGGCAAGCCAAGAAGTGGAGTTAAAGTCAGAATCAAATCAGCCATGTTGTTATTAAGTGGTAAAGCAGGCTTTGAGGAACCAAATGCCTACTCCTGTTCCTTGACTTATGTTCTTATAATCCTGCTGTCAACCAATGTCCACCCATTCACATTTAATCTCATGATGACTAGGAATATATGACTGGGAAGCAGAATTTCGGTTTGATTTTCCACTCCCTGATGTAAGAACTCAGAGACCAAGTGTAGTTCCCCTGATGTTGAGATGTGTTTTCACTGCACAGACTTGGGACTGATCCCAAGTTCTGTCTGGTGTGTATGTAGTAGCTATTCTCTAAATAAACTTGCTGGCCATTTTTGTCATCCCAGTGTCTATTTCTAATGGGTGTTTATTTAGTTGGTGATTTCCTGCCTTGGAGGAAATAAATGGTTTCTATAAATGGTCTTTGGTAATTTATTAAAATATTTAAGTGTCAAACTCAATTAATATCTGATTTCTCTATGCTCAAATGTGACCTATTGTCATTGAGATGACATTAAATCCCAGATGTCACTTTCATACTCAATTCTAAATGAATACCTGAGTTTAACAAGTACTAACTAGTTAAAATACTTGTGACAGTGTCTAAATGATTTCACTTGCTGAATAAGCACACTTTGAAGACAAACATAGTCGGCAATGGTGGCATTTATATAACTGACTGCTCACTGTTTTATTTCTTGCTTGTAAGCAAGAAAATGTACAACCAAGTGGTTTTATGAAATGAAATGAAGTGATGATGTGGTTAGTTGCTCTTTCTTTGAATATTTTTCAGTGCAGTAGGTTTTTTCCATTTGTGACTGGTTTGAAAAAGGTACATTTCAATTTTTATGGGGAAAATTTTGCATTGGTCGAGCTATTCATCTTTGAGTATCTTTTTAAAGCGTGGTGCAATGTCACATTTTGAATGCAAATGATTTATTCATTCAGATGAGTATAAATTCAGGCAATGGAAATATTAATTGCCTGTCTGCATACATACTAATCAGAACATTCACCCAGAATGAACTCTTTCCACTCTACAAATATGTTTTTCTGGCTGAAGGCTGAAATTACATGTTGCTCATTTTATGTCTTATAAGATCATGAAACATTATTACAACGTGTTTATATCTGGAACTACCTGAGTTGCTGACTATTCAGTTAATTGACATTGCACTTTTTAGGTCAATCAAGTGGCAGTTGATACAAAGCAGTTTATTTTTGTTGAGTTTTATTTTCTTTAAAATTTGAATGTTACTACAGATTGTTACACTCAAAGGGTTATTCACAAGGTAAACATTCTGGTGCAAGAAAATCCATTACCTGGTCTGTGGTAATGTTGAGGTGATCGAGGCATTGTGGGAGACATCCCCTGTCGACTGTACATGGGCGAGTCAATGTAGCCAGGACTGGAAGATCTCCTCTGTCTTAAATCAATACCATCATATATGTCCTACCATAAGATAGCAGGAACATTGTTAGTACCAAGTTAGCAGTTAAGCACTCACTTCTAATAACAATAGATACAATAACTAAGGAAATGGACGTTTGGATTCTACAAAGAACATGATTCTCAGAAATATATTTGACCCATTAATACGTAGCATTTAAGTAAGTCACACTGAGCACATTATGTGAATTGATTTTAGTGGCATGATTACATTTGATCTGTAAAATCTGTCAAGGTTTTTAAAGGAATAAAAGATCATCTGTATAATAGCAACATTTTCACTGTAGATCAAAATGCTGGTCATAACCTATGTTTAACTGTAGAGGTATCTGAACTGAATGGATGGATGGATGGATGTATAACATACCAGAATATCCTTGTTAAGCTTAACAAACTAAATTTGACAAGTTCAGATTTTAAACAGAACAGAGATATACTGCAGTCTTTTATGAGTCTCAAATCATACTCTGATGTTTAAAATAAAATGTTTTGCACGAAAATATCTTGCAGTGTTGCCTTATTGTAACAGATTTAATATTGCAACTTTATTGTTACAATAAAAGTTTTCTAATCTCAGGAGATATGTCAATATAATCTCTGTGGACGTCATGGTCTACAATTTACAGGTTTGATTGTATCTCAATATTGTATTTGAACCTTGTAATTTACACAGTAGTACAGTCCCTACGGAACTGAAATAGTCTGTGATTTAATTAAATTCAGTTCTTAGATGAGGACGTCCATCTGAAATTCATGAATTTAATGTGTCTGTTAGCAGCCTAAAAGCGTCACCAAGCGAAGGTGAGAAACCTTTTCACATGAAAAAGGAGAAAACTGAAAGGATGTTTAACATTCCTACACCTTTCAACGTTTAGCATTAGCAGAGACGCTGGTCAGGGTGACCTATTCATTCACTCAGCCAGGAAATTCATACTTAATTGAAAGGAAAAAAATGGTGGACAATTTGCTTTAGAGAGGAAACAAATACATGAATTCATTTACTACATAATATTGTCACAATAGAAGGTACCAGTATTGTACCTACTGTAATACTCTAAAAGATTATCCACCTTGGCTTGCCACAAATATTTATTAGAACAGAGATCTAACAGATTGGTAAAGAGAAAATATCCCAGTCATTATGCAGCATATCTAGAATTCTCATATAATTAAAAAAAACACTCATTTCAGATATAAACTGTATCAACAAATTATACAAGATTGACTGTTTCATGAAAACCAAAAGAACTGTGGATGCTGTAAATCAGGAACAAAAACAAAGTTGCTGGAAAAGCTCAGCAGGTCTGGCAGCATCTGTGGAAGAGAAAACAGAGTTAACGTTTTGGGTCCGGTGACCCTTCCTCAGAACTGATGGTGGCTGGGAAAACGTCAGTTTATATGCAGAAAATTGGGAGGTGGGTGGGGTAGGGAGTAAACGATAGGATAGAGCCCAAAGAGAGAGAAAGACAGTTGGACAGACAAAGGAGTTGCTAACGATCAGGCTGGGAGGGTGAATAGTTGTTAATGGGGACTGTTAGTGACTAACAACAGCGGGTGTGTAGTGGCAGGCTATGTGGTAACAAGGCCTGGTGTGTGGGGTGGGGGGCTGGGACATGGGAGAGTTTAGGCCCTAAAATTTTTGAACTCAGTATTGAGTCCGGAGGGCTGTAGGGTCCCCAAGCAGAAAATGAGGTGTTGTTCCTCCAGCTTGCACTGGGCTTCACTGGGACACTGTAGCAAGCCGGAGACAGAGATGTTGGCCAGGGAGCAAGGTGGTGCATTAAAGTCGCAGGCAACAGGTAGCTCAGGGTCTTTTTTGCGAGCAGAACGTAGATGTTCTGCGAAGCGGTCGCCAAGTCCACGCTTCGTTTCCCCAATGTAGAGGAGACCACATTGTGAGCAGCGAATGCAGTAGTCTAGGTTCTTGGAAGTGCAGGTGAAGTGTTGCTTCACCTGGAAGGTATATTTGGGCCCTTGGATACTGGGGAGGGAGGAGGTAAATGCGTCCGTTGTCGACAGGGCCCTCAATCGGGTCCGACCCATCTCCCGCACTTCCGCCCTCAACCCTTCTCTTCCCTCCCGCAACAGTGATAGGGTTCCCCTTATCCTCACCTACCATCCCACCAGCATCCACATCCAGAAGATCATCAGACGCCATTTCCGCCACCTGCAGCAAGATGCCACCACCAGACACATATTCCCCTCCCCTCCCTTGTCCGCCTTCCGCAGGGATCATTCCCTCCCGGGACACCCTGGTCCATACTTCCTTCACTCCCAACACCTCCCCACAGCCCTACGGCACCTTCCCCTGTAACCAGCAAAGGTGCAACACCTGCGCATTTACCTCCTCCCTCCCCAGTATCCAAGGGCCCAAACATACCTTCCAGGTGAAGCAACACTTCACCTGCACTTCCAAGACTCTAGTCTACTGCATTCGCTGCTCACAAGGTGGTCTCCTCTACGTTGGGGAAATGAAGCGTAGACTTGGCGACCGCTTCGCAGAACATCTACGTTTTGCTCGCAAAAAAGACTCTGAACTACCTGTTGCCTGCCACTTCAATGCACCACCTTGCTCCCTGGCCAACATCTCTGACTTCGGCTTGCTACAGTGTTCCAGTGAAGCCCAGTGCAAGCTGGAGGAACAACACCTCATTTCCCGCTTGGGGACCCTACAGCCCTCCGGACTCAATATTGAGTTCAATAATTTTAGGGCCTAAACTCTTCCATGTCCCAGCTCCCCACCCAACACACCAGGCCTTGTTACCACATAGCCTGCCACTACACACCCGCTGTTGTTAGTCACTAACAGTCCCCATTAACAACTATTCACCCTCCCAGCCTGATTGTTAGCAACTCCTTTGTCTGTCCAACTGTCTTTCTCTATCTTTGGGCTCTATCCTATCGTTTACTCCCTACCCCACCCACCTCCCTATTTTCTGCATATAAACTGATGTTTTCCCAGCCACTATCAGTTCTGAGGAAGGGTCACCGGACCCGAAACATTAACTCTGTTTTCTCCTTCACAGATGCTGCCAGACCTGCTGAGTTTTTCCAGCAACTTTGTTTTTGTGACTGTTTCATGACTTTTTTTGCAAATCTAAATATGTATAGAAAATAATAATTATTGTAAACTTTGTTCTGATTATAATATAGTATAATGTTTATAATTATGTAAAAACTATCAATTAACGTACATTAATGGTTTGGAGGGAGAAGGTAGTGTGCTGGAGGGCAGGGATGAATAAATATTTGTAGGATTCATTAATTCATTTTGTTAACATTTTGTTGATAATATCTATTTATCATAAAGAATCAATTCCTCAGCAATGTCTCACTAAATGTGATGTCTTTAGGCTACAAGCCACCACAGGAATCCACTGTGCCAGTTGTTTTGCGATTTTGTGTTTTTCTGATTCCAGATTAAAAGCTTGCCATCATTGACAAAATGATTGAAAAGCTGCCAGCTGTTGGGAAGATTTCTGAACTACTGAGCTAATTCTCTGTCTGAAATACCTCACCTGATGCACACTGCACTTTGTGAACAAAAGCGTAATTGCCAATTTAACCATTCAGTTATTTAGTGAACCTTGTTTGAATCCAAAACAATTTGAGAATGCTTCAGATGAAAACCTTTCTCTGACAAGAAAAATGCTGCATTTAGTTCCTTTTGCTTTAAAACAAAATTCAGTTGTTTAATTCTGCTTCGATAATGCATGTGTTCTTTGTGCACTAACTAATTAGTGTTTTTTTTAAACAGAGATTTGATACACATTGCTGCTGCTTTTGCTCTAACCGAGCATTAATAAAAGCTATTCTTGGTGGAAAGTCTTTGACTTAATGCAGACATTACACAACATGTATGAATAGCAAACTAAGAGCTCCTAAGTACCAGCATGTGCTACACTAGGTAACTGAACCAAAACTATTGCACTCAGATTTAAGTCTCAAAGTACATTCTGAACACATGTATGTTTTAACATCTTAGATTTATAATTAAGCACTTTGAGATAGATTGCAAAATGACCAATTAATCGTTTAAGTTGATGGATAGAAAACAATTCCTTTGAATGTAACAAAACATTTACAAGAGGTATGTACGTTAATATTTTGATAGAATGCAGATTTTTGGGGGTTGCGCAGGGGAAAGGAGTAAAGTTTGGTCTAAGTAAGGACTACGAGCACACAAAATAAAAAAAACAGTTTTAAACTAAATAAACTGTAATACTACAATAAACAAAATGATCAGAATTACCTGTGAGTATGGTGATAGCATCCCAAGTGACTACAGAAAGTGAATAACAAAATATGACATTTAGTACAAATATATGTTAAAAATGTTACACACATGATCTTAGTTAAGCACAAATTGTATGACAGATTGTAAGGTGGTTGGTTAGAGTTTTCCTTCCATTACAACAGTTAAGCCACTATTAAGTGTGTTGTTTTTATTTATTAATTAATCATGCATTCACACAGTAAAACTAATACTAATTGAATGTGCCTGATTTCACATATAGACACACTACTTTTAACTTGCTGTCACTTAGTAGCTTGTTCAAATAACAGAAGTCATTTGTCAGGTTCCTGAAAGAGTAGGTAAAATTTAACGTAGTCTGTGGGAGTCGGTTAAAAGGTCAGTGAGGAGTGTAGAATTAGGACAGAATTATCTTATTGGTGGGTTAGATTAAGGAATACCTCTGTCTGTAGGCTAAATGTGGATAGCACCACTTAATAGTCTCTTCCTACTGCTCCAGGCTTTTGACCTGTAGTGGGGAAATGTCCTGCTTCTTTAGAAATCTGTCTAATAACAACAGACAGCCTTTCTATGGGTTAAGGGGACGCTCTCTTGATTGGGCACCCCGTGGCTCATAGAGGGTCGAATGGTGGCAAGGAGCACCTCCTCTTACTCTCACCATTGACAACCATTGAAATGATCATTTTATCCCCACAAAAATGTGTCAACTTGTACAATACATTTTCTCAAACCATATTTTCTGAGGCACTTTCAATGCTATGCAAGTCATTAAGTGCAATTAATAGATATACTTCAGGAAAACAAGTTTAGTTAAGAGCTGTTAAGTTATATTCATTTATACGCTTTGCAAACATAGGATTAGGAATATAAGTCCAAAAGTTAAAAGTATGCAAAGAACATAATTTAATCTGCATCATTTAAAAAAAAATACAACTGCTGCCGACATGCAAATTGACATAAATTTTCTTTTCTTTCGGATTCCAAGGCGTTGGACATAAAGACAATTTTTAACCACAGGTGATGAAGAATGCAATGAGTTGGCAGAACGAGAGAAATTACTCATACTACTGCCACTTCCCACTGTTAGCATTTCAAAACAAACAGTATGCAACGCCATGAAAACAAATCTTCTACCCAAGGTTGTTTCATGTTTGTATGAAATAAATGTTGGGTGGAATAAACAATCCATGGAATAAAAATCATGCTCAGTTACACAGTACCTCCCCAAAACTATGTCTTTCAAGTCTGTCTTCTGATGCGGATCTGAAATATGGCTCGTAGGAAACCAGATCAGGCCGCTGGATATCATAGATAGTTTTAACTTTGGGGAGAGCAGCCAGATCCCTATAGTCAAGTATTTCGTTATCCACTTTTGCCTGAGATATAGATAGTTGGAAAAGGGGAAATCAGAAGAAAATGTTAGACACCAGAGAAATTCATGATAGAAGAAAACATTAGCGTCATTAGTTTTTGATTTTAAGACATAGATTCTGCAATTACAAAACAGAAAGATTGGAGAAATGTTGCAGAAAAGTGTGCTGTAGATCTGAGTTGTTTTAAATTGAAGAAATCAATGTACCAAGTAATAATTCCTTATGAAGAATGGACATTTAAAACTATGGTGTCTTTTTTGTTCTGTGGGAAATTCATTCAATAAGTGACTTTAAATGCAAGTAAATTAAATTTCATAAAATGATCCAAAATATAATTAAATCCCACATAATGAAAATTAAATTTGACTGTTTCAGCCTCGATGTATAATGTCCCTCTTCACACAAATATAAAGAACAGTCAGAGTTTTCATATAGATCTGTCTACAGCATTTTTCAATGGCAACATTAAAAGAGGAGACCTATGACTTTTGATTTCTGCTCAGCTGAGGAAGCATATAACTATAGGCCACAATCCCAGATATGAGGGCTATCACTAGCCCTAGGAGTACAACAGTGAATAAATTTATTTTGGAAACAAATCACTGAGTGCATCAAAGTGTGCTGATGAGATCACTTATCGATGATTTTGAATGCAGCAGGGTCACTGTTAACTCCATTTAGCACTGGCAAATGTTTGAATGGATTTTAAATCAGGCCTCCAAATTAGCTATGCATGGAAGCATTGCTTTAGTTAGTTTTTACTAACATCTACAAAGTCATCTGTAGTTAAGCATGTTTCAAGCATCTTTTGAGTGTGAGATATGGTCAAGCAAAATGATGGTATTTCCTTTGAGTGAAAAGCAGGGTGCAATGAGTCCCAATATGTTTCCCCCTGCTTTGAACTGGTTGTTGTGGGTGAATTAATGTCCCAATGATATCCCAAGTAATATTAATATTGACTCATCAGCACCTATTTCTTAATACCTGTGGTAATGATTTAGCTATAGCAAGGTTTCAAAGCAGCACCGGGCGGGTAAAGTCATCTTGTTGATAAGTGTCACTGGCAAAAGTTGATAGATGTCCACAATGCTATTTACAATCACAGTGGATGTGGAAAATTATGCAATATAGCATTAGTTTATAATCCAATAGTGTTGTTATGACTTTCCAATTGTTTCATTAATTCCTGAGTGAAATCTACTTTTCAAGTCACTTTGCCCTGAGGGATGTTTTTTCAGGACAAGTTTCTTGAGTATAATTTTGCCTGTAGCCTGTTCTTCAAATGTCACATTCTACGAATAAATTTTCCAGGCTTTCAAAAGTATTCAGGGCTGCTTCATCTAGAATGTGCTAGGATTAGGAGAGCAGAGATCATTCCAAGAACAGGGTGGGCAGTCAATGACCTCTTCAAGTAGGTTGAAAGTAATTTATGGACCTCATATCTGCAGTATCTCCTAGCAACCAATTTTGGAAGTTAGAAATTGAGTTTATTTTTAAAATTTTATTCTGCCACAGGGAAGTTTGTGACAGCTTGAACTGATGAACTTTCTAAATCTCCTCGATCTGCTAGAAAGAGTGGGAGCTATTATTAAACTGGGTGAGCTGCCCAGAGAGAGGTTAGAACACATAGTGACAGCAATGAAAAAGGTAAGAGGGAAGGAAGGTTATTTCTGTTAGCAACATTAATAACAGTTGGATGAGAAATTCTGTTCAAAAGGAATATGGTTGCAGACTACCACAGAATCTGTAAATGCTTTTTTTTGAGAATTTAGTTACTGGGCATAGTTTATATTTTCTAAGTAATTAACTTGCCCAATAGTTTTTGGGTAGTAAAGTTTTCATTAATACACTCTTGGGCTTGAATTTCCCTCCCAGATCTGGAGCTCAGAGTTTAGACAATTCTGAGAGGTGGAGATACAGGTAGAAATGAGAGTTGTGTCAGCTGCCTCCAACATGAGTTGAGAAACTGTCTGGTAGGGAACCAGCGTGGGTGAAAAGACTATGGCATGCTTTGCGTATGTCAGCTGTCATTGTGATGATAGATTGTGAAATTATTAATTCTATTATGACAAGCTTACGGCTTATATCAACACAGAATAAAATAGCAAGATTTTTTTTAACATGACAAGCAAATATTTAAAAGTTTTAAAATGCTTTGACACCTTGATGATTCCGTTTGAGAGCTTCAATAATCATGTCCACTTTGTATATTCATGTCCACTTAAAAAATTTCAAAGGGCACCTGATTTCTCCTACAGATGTCTTGTAACCATATCCAAAAGGCTAATGTACCTCCCCAAAGGGCAAACTACCATTCTGAAGAACTCCAGTAAATTTTGACTTTCTCCTACATGTTCTAAAGTGTGCAAATTGTATTTTGTTCATTTCACTCGTGAAAATCAGATTGCATTTAAGACAGTTTGAGTTTTATATGTACTGCTTCCTCTCATAAACCATGATGTGGAAAGTGTGGTCTCCTCCCCAACCACATCCACCCGCACCACCACCACCACCACCAAGCCCCCAACCCCACCCACCCCCCCACCCCTGACCTTCCGCTGTCCTCTGTCTTGCATAGGAGGCAGGTCTTCCACATTGCGTTTCTGGTGCCAGTTTTGCTCAGACATAAAGTCCTTTCATCTGTGCCAAAATTCAGGCGCTGGTATTTGTGTAGTACATTCAGTTACATATTAACAGAGAATAGGATGATCAATATTCCCGGCTCGTGAAGGACTGCTATGTAGAGACAAGAACTTCTAGCATACTTTTAGTGAGCTTGTTTGGAAAAGTTACGATTGATTCTAAGAAAGTGATCATCTGCAGGAGGTACAATATCCTGGTACTTCCCCTGGATTTTGACCAAATTTTATTGCTCTTAGTTTGACTCCTTCCCAGATTGCTAAAGATACTTACACATATGACCCGGTTTGGTGATCCTGAAATGCTAGATCCAGGAGGAGAGATGGAAGTTTCAGAGGTTCGCCTGTGCTGTAAAAAGAATTGAGAATGTGATACTGTTCACTTCTATGTATGTTCCTGCATCCAAATGAAGATTCTACACATTAACATGGGTTAAAATCTTACAGCTTTACAATGGGTTCTCAATCAACCTCTTTTATTTGAATAATTCTTAAAGTCAACAATGTACAGGGGTATGTGCCACTGCTACATAAAATTAGCTGCACTTTTTGAGAACAAATTGAACACTACAAAAGATCCAACTGATTATGTATTCCCTGTAGGTTTATCCAATGTGCTGCATACTATCATCACTCATTGTCATTGTTAGAATTTTAAAATTAACATATGTACATTTATTAGCGATTTCCCCAGTTGCCGATTGTTACTTATTTCCCTGCTGGCACAGTCAAGTTTGTATGAATTTCTTTCTCTTGTTCTTGTTTCTGAACTGATCTTTTTTGGCTTTGTCTTTTTCCTGTACTTGGCTTCCTTTTATTTTAATTAAAGCCTATTTTAACTTGATGAATGCTCATTTTGTGGGCTTTTCCAATAGAAGCCAATAAACTCATGTGCTTGACGCAACTCAAGTGCTTACTGTCCTCCAACTGACAGTGTATAACATGAGTTAATACCACAGCACGTCTGGAGAAAAGAAACCCACTCTATGCTTTTAAAAATAACTTCAGGTGTAAGAACATGGTATTTTGCTGTATGTTGTAGAAATTGGGGAGGTATTATTTTGGGACAGGGTCAGTTAGCTCGGTTGGCTGAACACTAGTTTGCACTGTAGCACGGTGCTAACAACACAGTCCAATTCCCACATCAGCTGAGGTCCAACCCTCTCAATTTCACCCCTGACCTAAGGGAGGTGGCCTCAGGTTAAACTCATTACCAGTGATCCCTCTCTCTCTTTAATGAGCGAGCAGTCGATGGTCTTCTCGGGCTATGGCTCCTTTACTTATTCTGGCTCTCTACCTTTTCTGTGCTCATCAGAATTTTCAGTTCACTTCACTAAGGAACAGGTGCAGAATACATTTGCCCAAAACATGTAATGCAGGAATTCTTGCATTTGCACCTTAACCAACGCTGGATTCTGGAGATCACTTGTGCAAATATGCACTGCAGCTTTGCTACAGTATCTGTGACTTTTAATTAACAAAATGCCCTGGGTTTTCCAATTGCTAATAAATAATCATTGGCCTTTCTAAGTAACTGACTAATTACTTTCCCTAAAACTTTTCAGTTTGCCCCAGTGAATCAACTGGATATCAATGTGCTCAGGTAAAAGTGAATGCACTAGACATTGTAACTGGTACAATGGTGACATGGTAGCCTCCATGTGCATCAAAAACTATGAACACGGGATATGCAGCAAAATCAGGGATACAGCTAGTGAGCGATTGTCTGCTCCTCCAAAACTCAGTTCTGCCCCTGAAAGGCTTAAGAGGGATATCCTGGGATTGTTGTTTTAAAAATAAAGCTTGTTACTTAAAGTGAGGTTTACTTCTGTTTAGCAGTAAATTTTGGGAACGAAACTTTGCGGGGGCAGTAAAAAGATTATTTTTGTGCCTGAAGCCTCTTAATCTGGTGCTAAATCTAGAAAATATGGAAACGAGTGCCAACTCTAGCAGGTGTCAGGCCTTTTTGCATCTCAACTGTGTTGACATGTAGGAATATGAATGATTCCCTCAGTTGATTAATGGTTAGGCTACTGTCGTGTGAGAGTTGGGCAGATAGGCTCCCCTTCATTCTTTGAAATACTGATACATAAATCTGCCTGTCATACCTTCAGCAGTCAATTAGGAATACTATTAGGAATTTCTAGGATGAGGCATACCAGGGTTGAACACAAGGCTACTGCAAACTGTAAATACGTATTTATAGTATATAAATAAACATGTTAGAATCCCAGAACTTTGCTGGTGTCTTCTTCCATCAGCTTTTAGACCCAAAACAGAAACTGCTGGAAAATGTCAGCATGTCTGGTAATCCCTGTGGAGAGAAAGCAAAATTAACGTTCAAGGTCACTGGGCCCAAAACATTAATTTTGCTCTCTCTCCATAGATGCTCCCAGACCTGCTGACATTTTCCACCAATTTCTGTTTTCGTTTCTGATTTTCAGTATCCACAGTTCTTTTGGTTTTCTTGTTTAGTGCTTAGAGCCATATGATCTGCACATGCTCAGTAGCCAAAAATCAGATTATTGGTACAGTTCATCCTTCATTGTACAATATTACTCTCATAAGCATTAAAACAAGATGATCGAATTTTCCTTGGGAGGAGGATGAAATGGAAAACATTTTTTATTGTTCATCTTTTTAAGCATAGCTGCATTCAGTAATTTTAGAACCTTATTGTAAAGCAATTTAGTTGTTCAAACTGAGTTAGCATGTTATACATAAATGATGAATGACACTGAGTACAGATTTAACTAGAAAAGCTTCTGTCATATGACCATGGAGAGAGCCATTATCTGGTGAATGCTGAGTTAATTTTCAACACCTTTTGTGCATATATCAAACCAATCCAGGAAATACATGTTAATAATATTTAGCTGAATATTTATGGAAGAGGCACTAATTTATGGCTGTGTTATACACACCCGAAGCTTCTTTTCCATTCTAGCAGACTGCTTACAAAGTGGATGCCACACTTCGCAGCCTAAAACAGACAGAGGAAAGAAAATAATCAAATTAAATGTATGGGACCATTGCAATGAGAAAGTCAGCTTTGCTACCTAGTGCTGTCATAGCAATTCAAACTAAAATAAATGGTGCACATCTGTCAGATGAAGAACACAGGCAAATATGAGAAACACCCTTGCTTTCGGAGAACAAGAGTTGTTCAGACTTGCATCAACCATGTTCCCACTGAAGTACACAGTTTTAGAAATTGATTGCAGGACACAAGTCATGTTAAAACATGTCAAGAAATTTCAAACATTTACTACACATTCAGAATATGTGATCAGTTGGAACTTGGAAGATACTTTGTTTGACAAAAATAAAACCCTATGGCAATGCTTATGGAGAGTGCAAGATTGCAGCCTTACAAGGAGAGTGAGTAATAGTCCAGATCAGTGGTGACAAATTCATGGATGAGTTTCAGCAGCTGATGAGTTGTGGTTGGGGTTGCGATGGGTGATGTTATAGAGAAGGAAGTAGGCGGATTTATTAATGGAGTGCCATTGGACATTTTATGGAAAGTTCGATGGGATATGGGTAGGCTGCCTGCTTCCAGGAGGCAACAGCTGACTTTTGTAATTAAAGGTTGCAATGGGTGAGCACCTGGCACGTGGGAAGGCTGCTGGATCAATGGATACAGTCTTCCTGCTACAAACAACGGGCTCAAAGCATCATCAGCCGAACTAGGAGCTATGGGCACTGCGGGTTGCAATCATGACCCCAAACACGTTGCTGGAGGAGTGTCTTTTCACACACCATGAATTTTATTTTGTTTGAAACTTACCGTTTGGAGACTCCAGGTCCCCTGCATTCCTCAGTACTGCTGAAGCTTCCAAACTGCTAGACCTGTGATTGGACTGGTACAATAAGAAGCTCACCCACCATCTTTAATTGGATGGTGGACTACAGGTGAGTAATGAGGAGGCTACCTGTGGTAAAGTTTCTGAGCAAGCCCTGTGGCCAGTAAATGCATGCATGTGATTCACCTTTTAGTCTAATGATGGGGTCCTGATGCCCCTCATAAAATTCAATTACTAGTTTTGGTTTTCTGAACAATTGACAAAACATCTTCAGATTTTACCACTGAGAAAACAGTAATATGCTCAGCACAAGAGAATGGAGACAACTCTGATTGAAAATATCTTATCTGACCATGAGACTGTTAAGACACAGAGACGGACAGGTGAATCAACTCAGCCTTTCTACCTCTGTATTTGCAAGAGTAAAGTTAAAATTTTTGAAGGCTCTCAAAATTGATCCCAATAGTTCAAAACTAGAATTTTGAGTAACCAATCCCAGACTCTGCGAATAACCAATTGTCAACATTGGTTTGTATCTTAGACAAAGACTTAGAAATTTATTAACAATACAGTATATTTAGCAAAGCAAAAATTAAACAAAAAAGTAATCTAATTGGTTCATGATATGAACCAAAAACCTTTGTTTTCAGCTGTTTTCATTCTAAAGACAGACAGACAAACCAAACACAGTTAAGGGATAAATCAAAGCAAATAACATCACTGGCCAAATTACTTCTGAGGTTTTAACATGTCGATCAGGGTCACCTTTATAGTTCACTCAGACAAAGGCAGTAATACTTATATCTTCATTTTCTATTTTCTGCGCTTCCAAGAGCTGTTCCTGGGAGGTTAGGCAGGGAGCTTTTCAAATCTTCATGCTGTCGCATCAACAGCGAGATTCCTTTTTCACAAAAAAAACAATACAAAGCCCAATTCAAACCACCGAGCACTCTCTGTCAGACTGACTGTCTCCTCCACGAGGTCTCCGTTACCATTCAACATAAGTCATCTGCTTGAGCAGAAGGTCTTTTCTAGACTTGCTGGAACCAATTCCCAGATATTAACCTCATTAACAGCCAACTTCTGCTATCTGTTTAAACATAATGCTCTTCCCCAGTGATGAAGCATCTGTAGAACCTTTTGATGAGGAACCAACCTGCAATTAACTTTCAGGCTTGACCTCATTAATAAACTAAAGCTTTTTCTTTTAACCCAGGCTGTTGCCAACAGTTGAAAAGTCATATTTAGCTCACAGTTCCCAGTTTACAGCTCCAAACCAAAACTGCTAGAAGAGTAAAAATGGAAATTATGAAAAATCCCTAAAAGTTCTAACAATATTTATATTTTGATTACCACTAGCTTTTCTATTCTGGCATTGTGTGCTTATTTATTCGCCTTTCTTCCAGATGTCTCCATGTTCTTCAACAGTGCATAAATGTTTATGTCAGGAACTGGTCTGGTCACAAATCTCTGATATCATGTTATAAGGAGTTATGGAGTGAATTTATCCCTAGTGTTGAAGCTAGGCTGGCTGCCTGCCCTGGTGTTCCCCTCAGTTTTGGGACTAGGTCTCAGTTGTGGCTGGAATCTGAGCTCGTTGAGCCAACCTGCATTATCAGACTGCCACAATATTAGGCAGCCCTGTCACCCTCTGGGTGAGGGGAAACACTTCTAAAGGTGAAACACACTCTAAATTGCAGAGAAGTGAAGTCAGAGCGTCAGCGAAAGAAACTGGGATCATGGAGCACTTCTTTTCCTTCCATCTTCCCAGAATTAAAGAGGAGTCTGTCTGTGGGATCCTTAGGTCAGACAGATATACGCACTGTACACGGTTGATTAGCACAGTCCAACAATGAATATCATGATTGGATGATATTGGATGCACAGCAGGAGGATTAGTATTTTAACTCCCATCTCAGAATCAGCGAAATATTTATGTGATCAGTATTTTGGTGGCGATGGAGCAGTAAAACCATTTTCCAAGTATAAAAATCACATTCCTGCTTAACACCAGAGCTGTTCATTAACCCCTTGTCATTAGAATCACTTCACACTCAGACTTTCCTTTCTTTACATTGGAACAGCTATTAATTTCTACTGGACACCTTCTTGACTTTATGGGTAATGCCATTGGCTTCCTCCTAAACATACAATACTTTCTTGGTAATATTCAGTTTCAGTAGTGACAGTTAAGGGATTTGTGGCCTAAACTCTTCACCATTTTCTGCTACCTCCAGAGATGAAAATTATCCTCTTTGTCATCTTGCTTTTATTTTCCTTCTAAAAAGGTGTTACTGACTTGGCATGTTATTACATCCCAATTAGTCTCACTCCTGTGGTGATAGCGTAGGAGAGTGGAACTAATTGCACAGCTTTTCAGAGAGTCAGCACAGTCATGATAGATTGAAAGCTGCCTTCTATGCTGTGTGCGTTTACAACTGCATGAAATAGAATTTATGAAAAACACTCTGATGACTTCACATGTCGTGGAACAAAGTCAATTTTTAATTTTATAGAAATTATTACAGTTTGGAAACAGGCCATTCAGCCCAACAAGTCCACACTAACTCTCTGAAGAGAATCCCACCCAGACTCAGCCACCTACCTTATCCCTGTAACCCTGCATTTCCCATGGCTAATCCACCTAACCTACACATCCCTAGGCACTATTGGCATGGCCAGTCCATCTAACCTGCACATCTTTGGACTATGGGAAGAAACCGGAGCACCTGGAGGAAACCCAGGTCCCTGGCGTTGTGAGGCAACAGTGCTAAATACCGAGCCACCGTGCCACCCGCAGATTTCTGCAGATATATTTGAAAAAGATATGGCTTTTCTATTCTTCTAGCATTACTAATCATGGGTCAAGACGATAGTTTCTCAAGGTATTACTCACAAAAAATTACTTATCCATTATTAATTCCTGTCTATATTGATTAACCAGGTACTGTAATAATGAAAGTAGAGTGCTTGGTTTTCTCTGGACCTTGTGGATTATTGCACAACTGAATCTAAAAAAAAATAAGCTTTCTTCTAGCAACACATTTGCAATGTCATGGCAACGTGTTGCTCCACCAGTACAAATCGAGCTATTGTACGTGGTGTTAGAGTCTCAATCTAATGATGATGTGTAATGAGGCAGACTTCATTAGGAAGCTGAAGATGAAGGAATCCTAGAGAGCAGTGACCATAATACGATAGAATTCACCCAGCAGTTTGAGAGGGAGAAGAATGAATCAGATGTAATAGTATTACAATTAAGTAAAGGTAACTACAAAGGCATGAGGGAGGAGCTGGCCAGAGCTGATTGGAAGGGGAGCCGAGCAGGGAAGGTTGTGGAGCAGCAATGGCAGGGTTTTCTGCGGGTAATCTGGGAGGCACAGCGGAAATTCATCCCAAAGAGGAATAAACATATTAAAGGGAGCAATGAGGCAACGATGGCTAACTAGCAAAGTTCAGGACAGCATAAAAGCAAAAGAAAAAACATACGATGTGGTGAAAGTTATGGAATGCTAGACGATTGGGAAGCTTTTAAAACCAGCAGAGGATAACTAAAAGAGTAATAAACGGGAGAAGATCAAGTTTGACAGTAAACTAGCTTCTATGTGAAAGAAGATTGCAAGAGTTTTTTTAGATATCAAAAAGGTAAGAGAGAGATAAGAGTGGACATTGAACCACTGGAAGATGAGGCTGTAGAAGTAGTAATGGGGAACAAAGAAACGGCGGAGGAACCGAATAGGTACTTTGCATCAGTTTTCACAGTGGAAGGCACCAGCAACAGAGTCAAGAAGCAGAGGTGAATGTAGTGGCCATCTCTAACAAGAAATTGTTGGCGAAGCTGAAGAGTCTGAAGGTGGATGAATCACCCAGAGCAGATGGACTACACTCCAGAGTTGTGAAGAAGATAGCTGAGGAGGTTGGAGAGGTATTGGTGGCGATCTTTCAAGAATCACTGGAGTCAGGGAGGATGCCAGAGGACTGGAAAATGGCTAATGTAACACTCCTGCTTAAGAAACAAGGGAGGCAGAAGACAGGAAACTATAGGCCGGTTAGCCTGACCTCAGCTGTTGGTAAGATTTTAGGGTCCATTATTACAGGTGACATTGCAGAGTACTTGGAAGTGGATGGTAAAATAAGGCAAAGCCCGAATGGCTTCATCAAAGGGAGCTCATGCCTG